ATATTAGGTTTGTGGCTAAAATACTTTATGTAATATTTTTACGGGACACATGTGAACTCATGGGTAGCTATGTCTTCAAGTTTCTAAATTAAGTATTAGAAGAATGAAGTGTTGCTGCTGACTTACCTACTGTCCAAGATGCATTATATTTGTAATTAAATTAACGTCACTTTTGTGTAATTGTATATGTAATAAAACTTTGCAAGTGTTATTGGAATTTCTAGTTGTTGTCTGAACTAAGGAACAAATGGCATTGATGAAGTTTCTCAAACAATTTTTTTTCTTATTCATTTTATGAGTCAAGATCATATGTTTCTTCGGTTTATGTTAAATTTTAATTGCTTTTTATTTTAGTTTGGTAGATTGCAATGTAATTATCAACTAAAACATTTTATTCAACACAACACAAAACATAAGGATAAAATAGTCATATTCAACATTTAACAAATTCGGTCAGAGACGTAATCAAACAACATGTTTCAGATTTAGTCAGAGCTTCAGACCCAATCAGAACTCTAACTCAGTCAAATCTAACTCAGTCAGCAGCTATAAATAGCCCCTTAGCATTTTCAAAATATACATTCTTATACGAACAACCATACATTAGTCTCCTTAAAAACAATATATAAACTTCTCGCTTTAGACTTGAAGCCACAACAATTAAGCTTAGAAAAATGAACCAGATTCCATGATTAGCAAGGCTAAAAACATTTAACTGTAATAGAAATCAAACAAAATATACAACAAACACGTGAAAATGTTAAAAAGGTAAACAGAGCAACAAAAACAAAAAGCAAATTGAAACACAAAATCAAACACACAATGCTGAAAAGGTAAACAAATCAACAAAAAACGAATTGAAACACAACATCAATCATTGAAAACCTAAGTGGGAGTCGATTAGTTCAGGAAGAAATTATGAAAAAGAAAGAAAATAAAAGTTGGAAATCGAACAATATGAGAAATCGATTGGCCAGAGATGGAGGCCGGACAGCCGGTGGCCGGAGATGGAGTCGGCAGTTCTCGACTTTTTTGGCGTGGCCGGAGAAGAGTCTGGTGTACACGTTGAGGCAGGGCGGAACACAAGTATTATAAACTAGGGGGCCGGAATTACAATATCAGAACAAAGTCATATATCAAGTTTTATTTTGCTTTTTTATACTTTTATTACTAATATTTATTTTAATGTTTTATAGTGTTTTTAAAATTCTTTTACCTTTTCGTATTTTTAAAATTCTTTTACCAATTCCTAAGGGAGGAGGGAGTCATTCCCTCCCAACCCACTGAATCCACTGACACATCACTTTTTCTTTTTTGTTTTTTTTCATCTTTCCGAACCCACAATACACGAAAATCATATATTTTTGAAGCCACTCAACCCACTCAATTAAAAAAAAAATACAAAACAATCAAATGTAAAATCTTAATTAGCAATAGAGTTATCGGCGGTACCACTCCCGCTTCAACGAGTGGGTTGATTGATTTCACTAACCCACTTCATCATCTCTTTCTACTTTTTCTTTCTTATTTTCTCTTGTACCATGTGTTTTAAAACTTTTTAGTTGTTTTGTATTTTTTTTAATTGAGTGAGTTCAAAAAGATAGGATTTCTGTGTGTTGTAGGTTCGGAAAGATGAAGGAAAATAAAAGAGAAAAAGTGATGTGACAGTGGGTTGGATGGGTTTGGAGCGACCGACTCTCTCCTCCCTAATAGCCGAGAGTATGTAAATAAATAAGAAGTATATTTTTTGTTCAATAGAAAAATAGCTAATTGATTGAATTGACAACTATTACTCATCATCACTTTTACCTGTTCACTGTCTTAATCAATTTCTACTTTTTACAGAAAGAAAGAACGAGAGAGAACCTGAGTTTTCTAGTTTAATCCGGCAGAGAGGACGCCGGAGAGGAGCGACAGCCCCGAGAGGTAGCGGCAGACGGCAGAGTGCACGGCGGTGGTCCGATCTGAGTAAGCCGGAGAGGCGGCGACTGGCGGAGGGGAGAGAGAGAACGCACTGAGAAGGTGCAGTCCAACTGTGGCGTTATTCTGAGGTTTAGATTACTTTAGTTAAAAACTTGAAATTGGGTTAGATTTCTGTTTTTTTTTTTTTTTTTTTTATAGATTTTAAGAAGAGTTTTCTTGTTTGTTTAGTTTTAAAGTTAGTTTTGATTTTTCTCAGTGATTTTCGGAATTTGGCATTAATTATTGTTTAATCTTTTAGTCAATACCTAAATTTTGTAAATTATATAACATCTATACATACCAGAATTTTGAAATCGGGGGAACTGTTCAGTCATATTGGTGATTATTTCAAAAGTAATATATATACTGGCATTAAGAATCTGAAAACCAGGGGGGCCATGGCCTCCCTTGGCCCCTAAGATAGGGCACAAATGAGTGTGACTTACAAAGATTTACAAAGCTAATAAGTGGACTTGTATGGCTTCTTTTGGGTTATGTATGCAAGGCTCTGTGAATTACAGTTGTCATTTGCCTGAAATTCTGAATGATTTTGAACTCTAATGGGTGAAGTTCTGTGCTTAAGAAACCCTAAAAAACAAATCCCCAGTTTACATTTGAGCCCATATGTCCCTTGCTAGATTAATGTTTTAATCCTACATTTCTTTTCAATTCTTGCAGGTTTGAGTCTCACTGGAGCATCACATTGGATTACAACAAATTTTTTTGGGCATCAAAATTAATTCAGGTACAATTTCATCCTTCCATTTCCATGTTCTTAGGTTAACTATCATTGACACTTGGGAATTGTGACCTTTTGTATCCAATTCACTGAAAGTTGTTGGTTGTAGTGCTTTAGGATCACATATTGCACTGATGTTTGTTGCAATCTTAAAATTCATATACACTTACCACACAACCTTTGATTCCTGTACTCACAAATAACAGTTTGACTCTGTAATTGGATCCTATCATCTGATGTGGAGGAATAAAATGATTAAGAAATCTTTAGAGAATGATCAAATGCAGCAACGATCTTCAAGAAGAACCCATAAAACGCGCTCATCTTACGTATCTTGTTGCTTAAGTTAATGAGACTTATTTTTAATTACTTTTCTTGTAGCTTTGTTTTAAATTTCCACAAGTTAGATCCGGTCTTTGATTTGACCGACACTTTTTGTGTTTTGTTTATTTCTTTATTCACTTAAACCATAACCTGAATTCCCTTTTTTTGATGATCTGGTACAAACAAACACATAAACTTCATCAATAAGTCAAGTTTGACAAATACTTCCAGGATTCCAACAAGGATCTATCTATCTACACTCCACACCATAAAAAGTTGTCTTGTTTTTAGTGCATACTCCATCTTTTCAACATCTCAATTCTCATCATCATATGTAATAAATTGATTTTTTTTTTTCATCTTTTTCGGTTTACATGAATTTTTTTGTGACAATGATGTAACATTGTAGAAGAGTTGGCTTATTCATTTGTTGTTTTTTTTAGTTACGAGGGCAACTGGTAAAAAGGGGACCACAGTCCAACGATCGACCTCGGGACAACTTTCTCATGTGTCGCCGTTTGGAAGTATTATCGCCTCAAAATCATCCCAAATGATCGAGGCAACAAAACTACACCATCCTGTGTTTCGTTCGATAGCTCAGGATATTACATTCCTAAAGTTGTCAAGAACATAAAAATCACAGGCCTTGCTAACCACATATACGGTAATTGTAGTTTTTATTTCATGAATTAGCATAGAAGTCTTTGAATCTAGGAGTGTCAAGAGAATTTTTATTCGGTTTAACCGGTAACCAAGGTTACCGAATAAACCGAAAGCGGTTGAACCGAAATTTGTTTGGTTCGGTTACAGTAAATTTAAATATGTAATAACAACCCTATTTAAATCTTCTACATATTACTTTATTTTTTAAAATAACGACGGAGAAATATACTTCCAGAGATTCTTTATAGAATTAAAATGTGTAGATATATAGATGGTTTTCACTTGATTAATTGGCTTAATTAACCTTGGATATTTAACAAATGTTAAATGGTTGATGGGAAGAAACTTCAGCGATTCCCAAGTATAGGATAACATGAAGTTGTGGCCTTTTAAGGCCATAAAAGGGACTGAGGACAAACCAAAGATCGTTTTCACCTACAAATATGAAATAAAGGAGTTTTTTTGCTGAATATAATAATGCTTTTATTCTTGGTAAGATGAAACGAATTGTTGAAGTTAAACTTGGCAAAGATGTGAAAAATGCAGTGATAACAGTTTCAACTTACTTTAACAATTCACAATGCAAAACAACAAAGGATGTTGGCGCTCTTGCTAGACTAAATGTCATTCGCATGATTAACGTGTCTACAATAGCAACCGTTGCTTGTGAGAAAGCGAAAAAGAATCTTTCAAGCATTGAGTATGCTGAAATCGTCATAGGGAGCTTTCATGACGAGACAGAATTTACATTGCACATTAGTTGGGAGACATTTGAAATGTTAAACGACAATTTAGTCAAGATGTACATTACTACTATGGAGGAGTGTTTAAAGGGGGCAAAAATCGACAAATCAGCTATAGACGAGGTCATTCTAGTCGGTGGCTTAACTCGGATCCCAAAGATCGAGTCGGTGTTGGAGGATTATTTCGATGGAAAAAAATGTATTACATGAGTTTGGATGTTGACGAGGCAGTTGCATACGGTGCAGCCGTCATGGCTCAAAGGTTGAGCATTAGAACTCATAGATTATTTCAAGATTTCACGTTATTGGATGTCATACCTCTCTCCATTGAAATATATATTTTTGATGTTGTCATACCATGAGTTAACTTTTGTAAAACGTGTATTGTATTTACATAAGGGTAAACGATACACGTGATATATAAATAGAATACACAATTACAGTTAGCCTCCTCTAACTATCAAGTAATCTAATTTAGTCTAAATACTTTGTCTCATATTCCCCCTCAAGCTAATGTCGGGTACCGACTTGTATAGACCTAAGATTCACAAGCCGTTGAGTAGGTAGCGGTGTAGTTAAGACATCCGCTATCTGATCTTCTATAGAGATATGTTGAATGGATAGCTTCTTGTCAGCAACCTTTTCTTGAACAAAGTGAAAGTTAACTTCAGCATGTTTGGTTTGTGCTTGGCAGATTGGATTGGTGGATAAGTAAGTGGCTCCAAGATTATTGCACCACAGAACGGGAGTTGTCGCAGTGGGAGAACGAAGTTCACATAGGAGAGATTATAACCATGTAACTTCAGCAACGGTATCGGCCAAGGCTTTGTATTCAAATTATGTGGAGGATCTAGAGACAGTCTTCTGCTTTTTGGCTGAACACGAGACAAGATTAGCACCAAGATATATAGTGTTGATATGTATATCTTATCGACCTTTTAGAAATGGTTCGGCCATTTCTCGACGGTTCGGCCATTTCAGGATGGTTCGACCATTTTTTGACGGTTCGGCCATTTCATTTCTGGACTGTACGGTCGTTTCTTGACGGTTCGGCCATTTCCGGACGGTTCAGTCATTTCTTGACGGTTCGACCATTTTTCCTATGGTTCGGCTATTTTCGGTTTGCTCCTTCCCAAGGCGAAAAGCACACCAATCACATCAACCTTCTCATGACCAGCTTAAGGCCAACTATTGAGCTTTTTCTCCAAGAAAATGTACATCCAACTAAGTATAAATAGACCTCTCAACCCACATAAGAAAATAAGTTCTACTTCTCTCTCTTTACTTGACCGTCGGAGGCCGCTCCCTCGACGCAAGTCCTGGGGCGACTCTAACGATCTCGCTTATGAATGTAACAGATATCAAATCGAGGCTTGCTAGTAGCATCGAAGCATATGTACAGTAGAAGAAACGACTCGATAAACCTCGTGACGAAGATCCGGGTTATATTAAGTGCGACATCCGTGGGACACCGAGCAAATAGCTACTCCACGAAGAAGCTTCATCGAATCTCTTACAAATATGCATATATGCACAGGTTTTATCTCCAAAAACGTATCTCATACCCTTGTTTAGCAACCTCAGTCCCAAGGAAATAAAAGAGAGGACCCATGTCCTGAGCTGCAAAGGTTTTGCTCAATCGCTTGACAATGCTGTCAATAGTAGCAAGATTGTTACCCGTAAGGATGATGCCATCCACATAAACAAGCATGTACAAAATGGTGCCGCTAGAGGAGTATGAACAAGGAGGAATCGGTTTTGGTTCCTCGAAAACCAAGAGAGACCAGTGCTCGTGAGAGACGATCAAACCAGGACCGTGGTGTTTGTTTGAGCCTGTAGATGGATTTATAAAGATGATATACATGGTTTGGACGTTGTGGATCCGTAAAGCCAGGTGGTTGTTGAACATAAACGATCTATGTTAGATCACCGTGACGAAATGCATTTTGAACATCCAACTGACGAAGGGGCCAAAGTTGTGAGATTGCAAGAGAAAGAACAACTCTAACGGTTGTAAATTTGATAACCGAGCTAAACATTTAATGGTAATCAATACCAAGTTGTTGATGAAAACCTTTGGGACGAGTTTGGCTTTGTAACGCTTGATAATACCTGATTGATCTATCTTAATTTTGTAGACCCACTTACAATCAACAATATTGGCATGCTTAACTGAAGAGATTAAGGACTAAGTGCAATTGCACATAAGCACGTCATATTCTTCATCCATGGCTTTCCGCCATTGGGGAGACTAATTTGCAACTGAAAACGACGAAGGCTCAGTTTCGTCGTGTGCAAAAGTGTGATACGCTGTTGGATCATAAGGAACCCGTGGTTTCGGATTCTGACACAGATTCGTTGGACGAGCACGTGTTGACATGGCTGTTGTGGTCGATTTAGCAATGACCGGTCTAACTGTGATTGGTTCTGTAGTGGTAGCAGCAGGTTCGGTGACAAGTTCTGTGACAAAACCGTGTGTGGTAGGTGGGATGGTGGGTTTTCAACGTTGGCGAACGTAGGTACGAAGTGGTACGGTTGCTAATGGCGTATCGATGGGGGCTTGATCATTTGGGTAGCTAGATACGTATGCATCTGGTGGTGATGGTTTACAAGGTTGATGACCAGATGCGTTAGACAGAAAGGGAAAGTGTTGTTTGTTGAAACGAACATGTCGGCCAATGTAAATCCGTCTGGTGGTGGTATGTAGATATCGATAACCATGATGTGAGGGGATTGTATCCGAGGAAAACACTTGTTATGGACTGAAAATACATCTTGTGCTTATTGTACGGTCGAATGTGAGGAAAGCATTGTACACTGAAGACTCGTAAGAATTAGTAGTCAGGTTTTCGTGTAAAGAGATATTCGAATGGTGATTTGTTGGCAAGATCCGTGAGGTTATATGTTTAATGAGATGAATAGCGGTGCCATAAGCAAAGTGCCAATACTTCAACGGAATACCAGATTGGGAAAGGAGAGTGAGACCGGTTTCGACAACATGTCGGTGACGACGTTCAACAAGGCCGTTCTGTTCACTTGTGTGAGGGCATGAGAGACGGTGAAGAATCCCAAGAGAGGTGAAAATTTGTGATAGATTTCGGAATTCCCTACCCTAATCATTTTGGATTTAATCTTGGTGCTAAATTGACGTTCGATCATGATAGTAAACTAATTAAAGACACCTAACACATCCGACTTGTGTTTCAACGAAAAAAACCACATATATATCTAGAGTAATCATCAACACATAATAAAAAATAATGATGACCGTCAATGGAAGGAATAGAAGTGGGGCCCCAGACATCACAAACAATTAAATCCAAGAAATGATTACTCTTAAAATTTGAGGAAGATAAGTGTAGTCTAAAAAGCATCAATTACAAAAAGAAACAAATTTTATTGCAAATTGGAAGATTAAATCTAGAAAGCATAGTTTTTAAAAACTAGGAATGCGAATGTCCAAGTCTTTGGTTGACAAATGTCTGGAGAAACACGAAGTTGTAAAAGCGACTTTCGGAAGACTGCAAAATTGCGGGAGACGCATGGAATAGAGTCTGTTGTTACTTGGACCCGTGAGGAGGGTTGTGTGTGAACTGTCCTTAACAACAAAAAAGAAGAGTGAAATTCAAAGAAAAAATGATTATCTTGACAAAAACGTTGAATTCAAATAAGATTTTTTTCTTAAATTTCTGGAACATGAAGAATATTTGGGAGAGAAAAGGTTTTAGAGGGCGAATGAAAACGAGTGGAACCGACATGAAGGATAGGTAAGCTCTTACCATTGCCAACATGGAGAAAAATCATCACCATAGTAAGGTTCATGGCATTCAAAGGTCGATGTGTCTTGTGTGACAAGGTTGATTGAATCGGTGTCGGGAACCCATGTATGCATTTGTTGGGATCTAAAGTCTACGAAATTGGCAGATGGTTGCTGAGGCGGTCTTTTGATGGTTGCGGGATCACAGTTATGGCATTGAGAGGGTACATGACCAATGCCACATCTATTGCAGGTTCCGTAAACAGTGTTCTGAGTTGTTACGTAGTTGAACTGTTGGTTTCTGTTTCCCCCAGTTTGCTGCTGATTGTTTGAGCCTTGTCCACGACTGCGACCATGTCCGCATAAATTTTAGGAACGAGATGAGTAAAATTCTTGAGCGGTTTAGTTGGCCAGTTGTAGTTGTAAGCCAAGTTGATACACCATTTGTTGTATGGCTTGGATTGTATCGGCTTGAGGAGCGGATGTAGTGGAGGATAGTCGATTGGTTGTAGCAGTAAAGTCCTGAACAGGAGAGTAGATTTCTAAATCATATAGTCATGATCGAATAAGAGACCCGAAAGCTCTACGAAGGCGATGGGATGTTCTCGGGCGAGAAGGTTAGACTTCGGACCATTGTATTCTTCGTGAAGACCGGAAACAACAAACGGGACAAGATCCTTCCGATGTTTGCAAGAGCTTTAGCGTATTCTTTCGCTCTGGAAAGATAGGTAGAGATAGATTCTTCAGATTGCATCTCTATCTTGAGTAATTGCGTCTTGAGGGTGTATTGTCGAGAGATAGATGGAAGAGCATACATGCGTGCGAGGGAGAGCCATATATCTCTAGAGGTATCGCCTTGAACATGTGGGAAGGAGTCTTCAGAGATTATTGCGATAATCAACATTCGAACGTGTGCATTGTTCAAGATTCATATAACATAGTCTGGATTCGGTTGAGTTTTGGGTTGTGCATCAGTGGACACGTCTGGTAGGGTTTGGGATGTACATGGAAGAGAGCCGTCAACATATTGGTAAAGGTTGTTTGTGATAAGAAACGGTTAGATCATTGTTTTCCAAAAACCGTAATTCGTTGGAGAAAGGATGAAGGCTAATTTGTGTGAGTTGTGCGAGTCTTTTTTTGCTGTTATGAAGGATTGAATTGCCATTGTAAGCTGATAAGCTAGGCACGAGAAAAGAAGAAGAAGGTGGTCTACTGTCGTAGAGGGTAGGGTCGGTTGGCTTTGATACCAAGTTAACTTTGGTAAAATGTGTATTGTATTCACATTAGGGTAAAAGATACATGGGATATATATAAATAGAATACACAATTACAGTTAGCCTCCTCTAACTATCAAGTAATCTAATTTAGTCTAAATACTTTGTCTAATACCACGAAACACTCAGATTCCCATAACACCCATAGCACCCATAACAGTATCACATAGGTATGAAAC